CTTGCTCATTTCAGACTTTTAGCCGATCTCAGAAAACTCATCACTGTTTTGCTCAGCCTGAACATCCACTTAACACTGAGTTTATTTATTTTTCTGATAAAATTGCACTGAGTGACAGCAGTAAACAAAAACTGCTATGTCCGTAGGATTTCTTTCACGTGTAAAGGTGTTGATGGCCTTTGCCTCGAGTCCGTTACGGGTGAGAACAAGAAGTATTTCTCCTAGTGAAGTCCCCACCAGCATTCTCTGGGCTCATACACAGTCTTCCAGGCTCATGAAATGGGAATGTGGTGGCTGCTTTTCCTTACCTCCACTTTTATATTAAAGAAGCACAGAATCACTTATCTTGATTTAGTAATCCAGCAAACAGTAACTCTTCCATTTTCTGATCCTGGAATGCACTGAAGTGCTCTTCTGTGCTGTAGCACACCTGACCAAGATAAAAGAAGGAATGGCAGTGTTTGCAACAACTTCTCAAGTAGTGAGCTTTCTTTCCCTATCAGCCTGCAATTGCTCTGCACCTCCCTTCACTCACATTCAGGAACTGGCACAACAATTGTTTATGGCTTTTCAAAAGCCTGCTGACTTCCTCCCATCTCCAGTCTGGGTCTAGAAGCAGGCACCGTGCTGGCTGGAGCCTTGCAATTCACTTTTTGCAATTTAGATTCCCTACTCATCATCAGGAGAACCTACCGGTTTTAAATCGTCGTAACTTTAAGTCCCATTAATTATACATGCACTGTAGTATATATATGAGGGTAGAGACACAGCTCTGGAGAGTGCTAAACAAAATAAAAAAAATGTAAGCTAAAGAGCTTCAGAAGGAAATGGGTAAACTTTGGCATAAAACTTGAGCATATTATGAGTAATATGTTGAGAAGGTTGCTCTGCGGAGTCACTGAAGTTGCTTAGAACTGACGATGGAAGATAAAAATTCCTGCACCTGCAGGCTTGCAGACACCTCAGTCTTGTAACACAACATTCAGCATGTGAGACAACATCAACACACCACAAAGCTTGGGGGCTTCTGTCAAAACAAGGGAAAGGATGGCTTGAGAGAGCTGTCACTTCCATCACTAATTCATACTGGGAGAGTCTTAGGATTTTTATTCAGTATTCTGTGCAGTATTCTGTGCTGTATGCTGCAGGCTCCAGGGGAAATGAAGGAGCCTGTCTGGTGTAAACTCTGGAGAAAAGCAGGGTGATGGTTCTGCTGCTTTGACTGGTGGGAACAGTTAGTGATGTCCCGGTGGCTCCTGCATGCTGCAGGGGGCAAGGATAGGATAGGGTCTTACTATCTTGGTCATAGCAGACAGCAGTCTCAGATGAAATGGAGCAAACAGTGGCTTCATGAGGGTCTCAGCATAGGTCAGTGATGTTGCCAAGGCTGGGAGCTGGACCAGAAGTTTAGTAATCCTAAGCAAGAAGCCCAGAAAAGCTCTAGGGTATGTTCAGAGAATAAGGAAGAAGATAGCTCTCATCTTGGAGTCCACAACTTCTACCAAAGTTTATATACCTGCAAATGCTGTGTGTTTTTTAAACGATCTTTTCTGAATAATTTTGCTACATAGTGATTGCATGTCTGGAATATTCATTCTACAAGCCAAGACCAATCCACTTTCTGAAACATTTCTTCCATAGATTCTCTCCTGGAATATAATCTGCTGGTGTTGGCTGTGACATGAGGCCCAACATAGGATCTCGCCATCTGTGCTGATACCCCTTGGGATGAGATGAATCTTATACACATTTTGTGCAAGGCTCCTAGAATATAAAATCAGATAGAATAGACGAGTACAAAGGGGTGAATGTCCCTGGTTTCCTTTCATTCAGTTCCCTGCTGTCCTGTTCTAGAAACCAACACAGCTTACCTTGAAAATGCATTGGTCCTGTACCCCTTTTCAGTTTTACAAAAATGACACCAGATGATTTGTTTCCAAGGGACTTCCTAGCCAAAAGCAGGGGGAACAAAAAGAGCAAAGAGACTCCACTCAAACTGTGTGAAGCTGCCATTATATGTGAGGACTGGGATACGATTCATCACAGAATCATAGAATCATGGAATCATAGAATCATAGAATCATAGAATCATAGAATCATAGAATGGTTTGGGTTGGAAGGGACCTCAAGGATCATTAAGTTCCAATTTGCCTAGATCAAATACTAGACCAGACTGCCCAGGGCCCAATCCAACCTGGCCTTGAAAGCCTCCAGAGATGAGGCATCCACAACATCCTTGGACAACCTGGCACCTTACCACTATCTCAATAAAAAACTCCCCCCAACATCTAATCTAAATCTCCCTTCCTTTAGTTTAAAACCATTGTCTGGAAGAGAACATTTTACCCCAACTCCCTTGATCTCACAGCTGCCCCATGCCCAAATATCTCTAAGGGTAAAACTGAATTTGCATGAATATAACCACCTCTCAGCATTACTTGTCTTTAGTTAGAAGACAGCAGTGAATGCTTTGTTGAAAGGGCATGTTAACCAAAGCACGTCATGAGTTCATGCTGAATTCACAGATGTCTTCATGTTAAAACAAAATATTATTATTAAAAAAAAAAAGGAACGTTTAATTTGTCCCTTTCAAAATCCAGTGCTTTGATTTTTCATTTTAAAATGAGCATCCATTTCCAAAGGTACTTCAAGATTATTTAAATCACATATTAAAAAGTGGAAAAGGATTAAGAAGAAAAGTGTAGAAGAATTCAATTTGTCAAAACACTTCTTAAATAGTAATTTCAGACTGACCCCAAGTCACTTTCTTCCATTAACACTTGGATTTTAAGTTGAAAGAAAAAAAGCTAAAAGTCCACTCTTTCCTTCATGGCTGCAAATATTCACACACAAAAAAAGAAGAGGGCACAATAACTTGTCTGTTCCTGTACAGCTGTGAAGCATTAAGTCATCTGGCCTCATCCTTTTGTCTCTCTCTATCCCACTCCTTTGGACTCACTGTTTAAAGAAAAATTGATATAATGTAAGGAACTGGTGAAATGTAGCAAAGCACCAGAACATAAAATTACAGAAAGTCTCTAAGTCCATCAATTTGGCCAACTCTTATTTATTAAATTTATTAAATTATTTATTAAATAAGAGTTCCACATTTATACGAGGCATGTGACCAGGTTTTGTTCTACCAGTTTTTCAAAGGACATACGTGTATTTGCATCTGCAGAAGAAGATTCGATACTTTCTCTTTTTTATCGAGTTTCATCCATTTGACTAGAGAGCAGTTAACATCCCACGTGATGGGGTTTGATGGAGGCTCAAAGTGACCTCATGCCTCCATGGCTTCTGGGTGCTATGCAGATGGATGCAGTGCACACTGTGCAATGTAACTCAACCCTCTTCCAGCCACAGTCTTGGCTTCTGTCTCATTCATCCTTTCCTCCATCTCTAGCAGAAGGCAGGGGATACATGTATGTTGAATTATGTGCTCATATTGCTCTTAATGAACAAGCAGCAACTGTGAATGAAAATGGAACTTTTAATAAATGAACAGAAGGGCTAAAATCACTGGGTAAATCATTCACAACCTGCCCTAGTGGGGAAGTGCAGTGAATGTCCTATGTTACAGAAAGAAAACACAGCTAATTTTTCCAAGCAGTGAAGTCAATGAATGCAAAACATTTTACTAACTTCAGAGGCCAGAACCTAGCCCCGAACCAGAGGGTTGACATACAGCTCTTCTCTTGTAGGTCTCAATTGTGCTTAGAACTGCTTAAAAGCCAAGAGGATTGTTTCTGTTTGGAGGGCCCCAGACTAACCCTGTACACTGGTCACTGGACAACCAGGTTATGTAGGTTATACCAGCTTCAGCTGAAAGCAGCTCTCCCACAGCCAGGTGTGGTGCACTGCTCTCAACTCAAAATTGCTCTGCCTTGATAGTGGTAGCGCCACCAAACCAGTTTGGAACAGTCACAGGATGGTCAGGGACCTCTGGAGATTAACTGGCCCAACCCCTGCCCAAGACAAGGACACAGAGCAGGGCGCTGGGGGCCACTTCCAGAAGAACACGTCAGGCCAGGTTAATTTCATAGAATCACAGAATGTCTTACGGTGGAAGTGACATTAAAGATCATCAAGATCCAGCTCTGTTATGGGTAGGGTTGCCATCCACCAGCTCAGGCTGCCCAGAGCCCCATCCAACCTGGCTTTGAGCACCTCCAGGAATGGGGCACCCACAGCTCTCTGAGCAGCTCCTGCCGGTGCCTAAGTGCCCTCTGAGCAAAGAACTTTTTCCTAACATGAAACCTAAATGCCTCCACTTTTAGTTTAAAGTCAAGCCCCCACGTTCTATCACTATCAGACTACATAAAAAGACAGCCTCCCTCCTGCTTGTAAGGGCCCTTCAAGTACTGGAAGGCTGTGATTAGGTCTCACCAGAGATGCCCCCACTGCTTGTGGCAGTGGACCGTGGCCACGAGTGGGGACTGTGACCACCCGAGTGGATGTGGGGGTGTGGGTAAAGCCCTGGAAGGTGGGCTACCAGCCCACAGAACCTCCCACAGCAAGAGGGTGAGCGGCCACGGCTCCCCTCCAGCCACCGGCGATGGGGACACGCAGCGATTGGGAAAAGGAGTCCCGAGCACCGCAGAGAGAAAAGGGACGCGAGGCTGTGCGGCACCAGGGCTTCTCTCAGCGCCCGGCGGGACGCGTGAGGCGAGAGCCGCGCAGGACCACACGGGTTAAGTTATGTAAGCCATTTGGGGAGGGGTGGACGAAAGGGGCGCTGCCGGCGTGGCTGCGGCGGCTCAGGTTGATTGAGGGCGGATGACAGCGGCCTGGCGCAGGCCCACGGCGGAGGAAAGCGGCTTAGCCCCCTCCGGGTTGCCATGGAGATAGGCGGGCGGCGGCGGGAGCGGCGGCGGCGGCGGCGGGGCTGTCAGTGAGGCTGCACCGGGCACCGGGCGGCGGCGGCGGAGAGGAGGAGGAGGAGGAGGTGAAGGAGGAGGTGGAGGAGAAGGCCGCGGCGGGGAGCGGCGGCGGCAGACATGGACTCGCACTGCGACTGTGCCGAGCCTCCGGCCGCCGAGCAGCCGTCGGGAAAGATTAACAAAACCGCCTTCAAATTGTTCAAGAGGAGGAAATCCGGGGGCACCATGCCGAGCATCTTCGGGGTGAGGAGCAAAGGTGGGGAGGGGAAGGGCGCGAGCAAGACGGGGATGGTGCGGAGCAGGACGCACGATGGCTTGGCCGACGCCGTGCTGGAGAGCGGCAAGAAGGACGACGGGGGCGGCGGGGAAGCGCGAGGGAAGGATGCTCCAAGCAGGGCGGCCGGCGGCCTCGGCAGCTCGGCCGGCGGCTCGGTGGCCAAATCGCACAGCTTCTTCTCCCTACTGAGGAAGAACGGGAGGCCGGAGAACGGCAAGGCGGCGGAGAACGCGGAGCAGCGGGCTGGCGGCAGACAAAAGAAGGGGCTGAAAGGGATCTTCAGCAGCATGCGGTGGCACAGAAAGGACAAAAACGGCAAAGAGGAGAGGGGAGAAGCCTCAGAAATCCCGTCCGGTCTTATTATGCCGGGGTCTCTGACTGCCAGCTTGGAGTGCATCAAAGAGGAGGCGCCGAAACCTTTGTCTGAAACTCCGAACGGCGCGGGAGACGCCGGTCCCGAGTCGCAGCGGGAGAAGCGCGGCGGGGACGCGTGTGGCTCGGCCGGGGAGCCCGAGGCGGGAGCTGGGGAGTCGTGGGACGGCAGAACTCCCCCCGGAGAGGACCCTGCTGCTGCTGCTGCTGGAAGGAGACTCGAGGAGCTCTGCGGTGAGCGACCGGACCCGAGCGCAGGAGAGGTTGGGACTGCGAAGGATGCGGCCATAACAGGTGACGTTCCAATAACGACTATTTCCCCTGTTGAACCTCACTGTGATAGCGGTCAAGAGACGGCAGCCGCCCCTGACCCTTCCTCTGTTGATCCACCCTCAGAGCAGTCGATTGATCGTATTTGTTTGATGTTTGCTGACGTGACTTCACTGAAAAGCTTTGACTCTCTTACAGGCTGCGGAGATATTATTGCGGACCAGGAGGAGGATGTGGGCAGCGGGAGTGGTGGCTGCGAGAAGAGCACCCCCGGGGCCAGCAAGCTGGGCGCATCCAAGAAGCACTCCACCATGGTTGCCTATCAAGGAGGAGGGGAGGAGATGGCCAGCCCGGACCAGGTGGATGATACCTACCTGCAAGAGTTCTGGGATATGCTGTCACAGACAGAAGAGACCGAAACAAGAGGAAGAGGAGGAGGTGGAGGAGGGACAAAGACAGCCGAGGAGCTGAAGGAGAACCAAGGTACTGAGGGGGCCCAGAACAGAGTGGTGGTGAAACGTGGTGGCCTCAACCAGATCCCCATTCACCTTAACAACAAAGAGGAGCAGAAGGGCAGGGAGAAGGAACAGCACGAAGGTGTCCCAAATAGTGATGAGGGCTACTGGGATTCCACCACCCCTGGTCCTGAAGAAGACAGCACTACAAGCATCCAGAAGGAGACCCTTCCCAGGGACAGCTACAGCGGGGATGCACTCTATGACCTCTATGCTGAGCCTGATGAAAACCCACCAGGAGGACCTCCAGAAGAAGAGGTCACCTGTACGCCACGCTCCAAGCCTGTGTCTCCAATAACGACCACGTGCTCACTGAAAACGCCCTCAAGCACAGTGAAGGACTCCAAAATACCCATCAGCATTAAACACCTTGCATCGCATCCTGCTAGCCATGGAACAGATACCAGTAACAGCCATCACGTTGCACACCATCACCTGGCCAAAAGTGAAATGCACAGAACAAAAATCCCTGTCTCTAAAGTACTGGTACGCCGAGTCAGTAACAGGGGCTTAGCAGGGACAACGGTGAAAGCTGCCACATACCAGGACAGTGCCAAAAAGTAATTGAAGAGCAGGTGGACATAAAGATAGACAGCAAGATCAGTATGTGAAAATCTGCATAGGAGGTCACAAACAGTGTGTTAATTTTGCATTGCCTGAAGGGGGAACCTAAAAGGCTTATCTCACTATACTATGTCGGCCTGCACTTCTGAATCTGTATGGCTGAATACAAGAAGACAACTTTTCAAGCACTTTTTTTTTTTTTTTTTTTTTTTTACGTTTGTATCTTTTTTCTGCAGCACTGAGTACTGGGGAGGTTCATTTTAACATGCCTTTGTGAAAGCAGAACTTGGATTATGAACCTAAATGAGTATCTTCCCTCATGCAAAGCAGTGCCACATGTTCTTCAAGGGAGCAAGAGTTACGAAAGGAGCGACATAAGAGGTTCCCCACTACACTTATCTCTTAATTGTTCCTGGGGAGGAGTGGGGGGAGGGTGCCTGACGCCAAAAGTAGTGTTTGGTCTGCAAGATGTTGGAGAAAAATACCAAGCAAAAAACAAACAACCTAACAGGTATTTTACCTGATGTAGGAATGAGAGCACTGCTCAGCAGCAGACTTGATTGACTTATGTGCAGTAGCTAATTAAGGAGTTAGGTGGATTTGTCCAACAGGAAAATCTATTTTTGTTTGTCTGTCTGTTTGGTTCGTTTTGATCTGCTCTAATGTAATTGGGTAACAGAGACACCTGACGTAGGTTCAGATGTTTACATCAATAGTTGTCCAATAATGCATATAATCAGGTTCAGGGAAACAATTTACTAAATGCCAATATATACACACTGTTCACATTTATACAATAACTTGCTTGCCATTTGTAAATATATACATATTTTAGCAGATTTACTCAATGATACAAATTTTTTTATAGAAAGAAATCACCTGTCTGTATTATCTAGAGTTTAAACAGAAGTTAGTTTTTATAGGTAGATAATTTTACAGTTCTAAAATGATAGAACTTTGTGTAAGTACCTTAAATTAGAGCAAAACTCTGTTTTGTATGGGCTCATGCATCCCCAGTTAAGTAAGTCTGAAGTGCTGATTTAATTCGAGTGGCACATTCCATGTCAGAGGAGAATTTCTGACAGCATTGCCATTGCAAACCTCTATTTTCAGGGGTTTAGGCAAAGTTACTCTGGGCTTAAATCTTACAGAGGAGGAACCCAGGAAAGAAACAAGTTTTTTAATTATTATTTTTTAAAATATATAAAATTAGTTTTTGACTATTTAAAGAAAGTCTGGGTTCTTGTTGCTTTTTATTTTCATTCTTAATAATAATTTTACTTAAAGAGATGAAAAGAAATATGGTAGGCTAATGGTCCATGAAATGGTCTGATGAGCTTGGATCTTATGAGAAATGTATTAATGGTCAGCATGTTTTTGAGTAGTGGCTACTGTACGTGGACACTGACAACATTTCCAAGAAATTTAATAGGGTTTTAATGTGCCTGAGGACATATTTTTATGATACACTGAAAAAGCTCCAAAAATCACTGAAGATTAAAAGCGAATATTATGTATTTACAAAATATTTTGATATGAGTATTTAATCATCAGACCACAGCTAATATAAAATATATGCTCCGGTGTATCTTACAAATAATATACATTTTAAGAATATAAGACTATATTATGCAGAGAGTCCTAAATTCACGTAACTGAAGCTAATGGGTCTGATCTTATATAGCAGTTGGTTTTACTGTTTCTTAAACTGAAAGAAAGAAAGAAAAAAAGGAAAGTAAATATACAGGATATACATTTGAAGGATATTAAGGTTACAGATAAACCATAAAAAGCCAGGAATAACATATAAGTATGTCTTATATGCGTGGTTCACTGAGGTGATGACCTTGTGGTCACAAGAGGAGAATTGGCATCTGGCTGTGCAGTCACTGCAGGACGGAACACCAAGCTGTGCCACCCCAGTGACTAGGGAGAAATTGTTCTTTTCTGCTCAGTCCCTGTTTTTGTGGTTTGAGTAAGAACCTTAATACACTTCACAGAAGATAATTTTGTATGTCTCCCTTGTAACATACATACGTGTGGTTTCTACATGCCTACTCACACAGACACGTTGTACATATGCATGCCTAGTCAGAGCCCACCTCCTCCCAGCGTGCATGCACACAGCAGACACACACCCTGCACTCTCACACCTGTGCAAACATGGCCACGCATGCACACTCCTACATGCAGACTGAGGGGATGCACCACCAATCTGTTTCACAGCACGCTGGTGATGATTGCCTGACAAAGAGGTTTGCGTTTGGCCTAACTCTGCTTATGCATTTTAGAAAGTTAAAGCTAAAATACCCTCAAAAGGTTGGATGTACAGAGCGTTGAATGTTATCCTACTGTTCAGCCCTAAGCCTAACATCCTTTTTTCTGTTCTGTTTCCATGTGACTATAAGGAGCATATCTTTCCTTGCATGACAGCTCTGCTAAAAAATCATAGTTCTCCATTATGTTTGACGGACAGATTGTACAGGGAGATTCTATAGGGTACTGGAAGTCGAGAGGGAGGGAGGATGCGGTGGGCTTGGGTAATACACAGAACTGGAAGCACTGGTTGCGGGAGTATCAGTGATGCTTCTTTGAATCACTAGAAGGTATCAGCTGCCATTTCTGCAGGACTTGTCTGTGGCAAATTATTCCTTGTATGCATTTCATTTGCGTTGTGGCGTGTATGTATCAAGAAACCGATTGACTAACAGTAGACTAGCTCCCTCGCACCTACTGACTAACAAGATCATTAAAATGCTTTGGCTGCCCTTCATTTTCTCTCTGTTTTCTGCCCTGTTTTCCCTCCTTCCCCTGCATGCTGGCTGCTCAGTGCTGACCGCCGTGCAGAGCGGGCAGCCCTGGGCTGGAGCCCAGAATGGGGTGGGAGCACATCTGTGCTCACCTGCCAGGCCAGGTGCTCTCTGGTCATTTCTGCCATGTCCCTGTGTAAGTATGTCCTGTAGATCCCTTGGTGGTTCATTTGGCTGCTTGCTGTGTACATATTTTAAGGACAATCATATCCTTAAAAGGAAAATGGGAAAGTAACTGTGGTAGGGCGTCAGTGTTTTGAACCATTGCGACACGCTGACACTGATTCAGGGTAATGGTTGTGTGAGAGAAAAATACAATGTAATGCTCGGATTAACTTTATATTTATAAAACTCACTTTTGTCTTTAAGCCATCTATGTTAATCTTCCAAAAGGTAATTGAAAATGTAATATTTACTAGGGCTTTCAATTGTCGTGGAAATATTTGTATAACTCTGCACAATGCCTGAAACAATCACTGAAAGGAAGTTCAAAGGCTTTCTTTACACCTGTATTTAGTTCCTGAAAGATCCCTGTAAAATACTGTGAGATGCCTAATAACAAACAGTTAATGGCTTGCTGGATTTAAAGGCTGAGACACACGGAGGTAGAAGTCCTGAGGCATTCTGTGGTGCTTTGCATCCTTATTTATATTACTGTGTTCAGGCATATATTTTCCCTGGCTTCAGTAGGTATCGAGGTAGAAGTGTTCTGAGTCCCAAAGATAACGTTCCCCATTCTGTAACAGTTTCAATTTCCTTAAAGAATACTTTTGTTTACTTGTTTTCTTTGTTGTTTTGTGGTCCAAGTGATGCTTTGTAATTACCAGCTTGTATGTCATTCATAAAGGATTTTATAGATCAGAACTTGGCATTAGTTCTATATACTCTTTGCACTTCCAGGTCACTGCTGATTTGTATGTTCTTAGGCTGTTTCTATATATTGTGTAGCGTTTTTAGCTATCTACTGTGATTTCAGTGGTATACATTCCTGTCCTATATATATCAGCACAAGAGATTTCCCTTTTTTAGCATGAAATGATGTTTTTGTGGACTTCTTTTGTTACAGTAGGAGTTATCTGTGCTATACGTGTGGCCTGCACCAGACATAAAGGCTCTTACGTTACCCGTAGTGCATTTTGCTCTTGCCAGTAATAGGACTCAAATCCATGTAACAGATTTCAGAAGAAATTACATGACTAGAATAAGAAACATCCATGTTCATTATTACTCCATCAATCACCAGCACTTCCTTCATCCACTGTGAACATCCTTACCATCATTCAGGGTAGTAGAGGACTGAATTTTAAAAATTACGTGCACAGATGTACACTATGAAAATTAATTCACTGATTATTTTTTAATGAATCTCTTACTAAATTATTTATCTAAGCTAAGCGAGTATTGCACCAAAGTCTTCAAAACATCTGATACAGATGGCATTTTCAGTAAGATGCTATCAGTGCTATCAGATGAGCCAAATTAACGGGCTTTGCTTAGCAAAGCAAACCCTAGTTGTTTTTTAGATCTGTAGTGCTGAACGAGCTTGCAGATCAAAGGGAGCCATTGATTCTGCTACGTGGCCATGCTCTGAGGGTTTTTTTTGCCTGCTCTAATGGACTACTTTCAGAAAAGGCTTTTCAGCAAGATAATGGTACAGACAGTTCACGGTAACAATAGCCACTTATAAGGCACATGGTTATCTAACAGTGATAGTAGGGGACTTCAGGCAAGGTGGCCTGGAAATGTATTTTCATGGTTATCGATATGAAAGGCTAAGGCTTCTGTCTCAGAAACCAATTTGACAACAATTAAAGATGTTGCAGGATTGACTCTTGGCAGAGCTTACATGTGACAGTTTCCGCAGTATTTTTTTTCTAGGTTTGGCTTTTCCCTTTTTTATTTTGATTTTGGTTTATGCTTTGTTTTTGTTTGTTTTGCTTTGTTTACATTTTCATTACGATGACACAGCCCTATTTGTCCTGGCAGAACTGCACAACGACTGACTCATCTGAGAGCTGCTGCCACTCGTCCTTTGGTAGCCTGGGACTGCTCTCTGTGCAGCATCCCTCCCTTCCACTGTGGGTTTCCCTTCTGATGGTTCACATGCTGTTTGCTGTGGGCAGAAAGCATCCAAATCTGTCGCACTGATTGCTTTCAGAGGTAGCTGATTTTTAGTCTGACTCATGGAAATTTTTTAGATCGTCTTTAGTTCACATCTTGTCTTCTATGTGGGCATCTTGGTTGGAATGGTCAGTGTTGATTTGGTGTTTTCTAAGTCCATTACTTGTAAAGGGAAACAGAAGAACTTGCCTTATGCAAAGGGATATGCCATATGCAAAGAGCTATAACCACTCAAGCCACAACCTGGGGGCCTTTACTCCTGCAAAAGCAAATTGTTAAATCTCTTCCTACCTTGGGGAGCTTCTCCATCCAA